AAACATCAGTCTGTGCAGAACTGCCCTTTTTTAATATTTTGCTTCCCAGCACCATGCCTGCCCTTCTGCCACTTGGTAACTCCTGCCCTATACGTTGTTATACTGTATCCAGTGGGAGAAAGCACAGGTGAGTGGCAGCCAAGCTTGCAAAGGAAAAGAGCCACCATACCTTTGGTTTTATCTGCCGAAAGTATTTACATCGATGGCAAGCAGATGGTAAACAGATGGCATGTATTCTTCTTACCGGACCTCCAGCCAAGGATGCAGACCATGGTCAAATGAAAAGCAGAAGGGGGTGGAGAGTCAGAGCCTACACATCCCAGGGTATTTACACAGACATGCCTTGAGGCAAACCAGCTAAACCAGCTCTCTAGGGTCCAGCCCCACTCCCCTTCACCTTTTACTTCTGCAAGGAAATAAACTGGTCACAAGTCTTTGTGGTAGCTTTTCAAAAGCAGAGTCTTCCTGGCTCAGCATTACAGAACCACTTATTTTGCTACCCACTAATGGACTTTACTAATGTGATAGTTACTAACAACATGAGCAGCCACGTGAACCAAAAAGGAAAGCCAAAAGTTTACACCTGGCAAAAGGTCTGGGCTGCTGACTAGAGTCCCATCCTCCCATGCCAGCTCATGGGTGTGTGCAAGGAATTTCTGATGCATGCTCTTGTGAACAGCTAATGTGCACTCTAGCAGTTTCCAGTAAATGGCTCTTAAGACTCCAGAGCCGTTGCCATACAAAAGTCTATTGTTCATATGCAGGACCCGCCTCCCTACCCTTTCATTAGAAAAGCACAGATCTCAACAGTGGCATGTTTATCTTAGCAGGGTGTTAAACCTTACCGAGACAGCCTCTGGTTTAGGATTAGAAACAAGTTCATCTCAGCTATTCTGAAACATCCAAAATGCAGGATTATGCACACGTATGTCAGTGCATTCCCAGTGCTTGGGAAACAGATTTAAGAAAGTAAAATGAACCAAGATGAGAGCACCTTCATATATGAGAATGAGAGCAGGACAATTGCAGTGGAGAAATGGGGTTGCTGCATGGGGCAGGAGCTCAGCTTCAGAATGCTTGAGTCTCTCCCTAGGCTAGAATAAGGATTTATGAACACCTTCATAGACAACGCTTCACACGTTGGAAACCCCAGCCAAGAGAGATGAAAATCCCAGGAGGCTAGTAATATCTATATGAAGTCAAACAACATTAAAGAAACTATTTCTCCAATCTTTATGGGTGATCCTGGGCTGGCATCACCTCATCCTAACCCAGACTGACTCCTGCCTTTACTACAGGGACAATACTGGTTATTTTGGTAGCTGGATTCAACAGAAGAGACAAGTGTCCTATGAGAAAAACATCCAACATAGAAACATAGAAATGTTGCAACTGCATTCAAGTCTGTGGCCTGCACTGTCTGCAGTTTTTTCATTTGCCCCAATTCCTCCACACCTTCTATCATAAACTGACTTGCAGTGCATGAGATAAGGCATCTCTCCTCCTCTTCCTCGAGAGATAGGTAGAAGAGCTGGAAAAGGTTCTAGTGAGATATTAAGAACAGCATTGAGAGAGATGGACCTGAAAGCCCACAGATCCAAAATTAGTGAGATAGGATACAACCAACAGTTTTCAGCTGACTTCCTGGAGATGCAGAAAGGAGGTGAGGTAAGCAGGGAGAAGTAGAGATTAAAGCCAGGGATCAGCAAAGCAGTAAAAGAAGGCAGGATACATCCAGGACAGAAGGGAAGACTGAGATAGACAATTTGGTGCCTCCAGAAAAAGACGAAGGATGTCATTAGGTAGGATGCAGATAGAAGAAGCATCCTAATGCCTATGCAGCCACACATATAGGAGGGTCTTGAGAGTACAGATAAAAGGACAATGTATTGCATGAGGGAAAAGGAGCAGTATCTGAAAGGAAGGAAGGAAAATGCAATAAATTTGGACATGTGAGCTGGAGGAGGAGGGTATGACTGGACATTTAGAGGACTGCAGGAGCAACTCATACTGCTAAGACCTTTGGCACCACAAAAATCATTATTTTTTTTCTCATTCTGTGGGCAAAATGAATTCACTGACTGTCAACCCTCTCCAGAACAACCTCCAGTTTTTGCTTCTTAATTTGCCCAGCTGAGCATTACAATTCTCACCCCGAGCTCAGATTCTCCCATTTAACAGCTTTTTTTTTCTTTCCAAGGCCACCAACTATGGGTTATTATACCTCAGGTCTTTCATCTCCCAACCAGCACTTACCCTCATTGTATTGTCACAACCTTACAAATACCAAGAACAAACCTAACCTTTGTCAAAGTAAACAGCTAAAATCAATGCCCCTTGTCAGGAGTGGCCTGGCTTCACAAGTCATGAACCTCAGCTCCAAAATCAGCAGGACACCAAAGCAGGTGAAGGAGGAGGGAAAGAATGGAGAGATACAGCCAAACTTCCACAGCAAGAAAGGAAATGCTGTGCCGGCAGCCTGGACCAAGCAACCCCAGGAAATTTAATTAGCCCCTTTTCTTCTGAATAGAGAACTCAGACCTTGTCCTGGTGGGTGGGAACACAGCAGACATTTCAAGACAGGCTCTTTCCCTGGGAGAACAGAGCTTTGGAAAAAAAAGGCTGTTGTAGAGTTAGACTAATCAGCCATGCTCTCTTACACCTGCTGCAAGCTGTGAACGATTTTTCCTATTTGAATCATTTAACTTTGTGCCATGCTTCAACGGTTTACAGGTACCCTACTCTTTGGAGGAGTAATTTCTGTCCTCAGGACACTCGCACTGCTACAGCCCATGAAGAGCATCTTCTGTTTGATGTGTTCATAAGGTGAGTGCTTGGGATAATGGTAGCTTAGTCAAAGGAGGGTCCTGACTGCCCCTTAAAGTCTCTGGTAAGAGAGCTCAAGGCTCTTGTGTCTAACAGACTGGATTAAATAGCAGCAGCATGGGATTGACCAGCTGGGAGTGTTAACCGGGTAGTTTTCTGTAACTTGCCCAGTAGGTGCCATGCAATTTGCTGGCTTTGACACCTTTAAGAGCTCCAGCACAAGCCAATATACCAAGGGCTTTTCAGAAATGCTACGGCTCAGGACAATGGGCTCTGTCCTGGTGCTTTCACCATGGAAAAGGGGCAGAAACTGGATTCATTTCTCCAGGTGGGGAAATGCAGATTGTCTCCACTCTCATCACCCTTGTGTTTGGAGGTATCCAAGGGCAAGCACTTGTCCTCTGCAGCTCCTGCTCCCTGTCAGCTCCTTGGAGACCAGCGTCACTTACAGCAGCTGCAGGCAGCTCTTGCAACACTTGCCCATGCTGTGTGCATGCTGTGTGGGTGGCCAAGCCATCGTCCAAGCAGCATACAAAAAATTCATCCTTTCTACAGGTAGACTCAAGGGACAAGCAGCTAATCAATTAACAGCCTCCCAAGACAAAGAATACCACAGTGAATATTCTGGGCTTTGAGTTGTTGTCATTAAAATAATTGCTTAAACAATATATCTAACCAGCAAAGACTAAATAGGGAAATGATAGATAATTATGAAATTAAAAAACGAGAGATTAGCCTCCAGTGCTACATCTTTTAAACAAAGCATGCCCTCATTTACATTCAGAAAATGAACACAGGAGAATAAACACGATAGTTGAAGGATGGAGTCTTGAATTTAACTACCCTGCTCTATTTCCTACGTTTATGATCACAGTCCATGAGAATTTCAGTTTGGTGACTGCAGTCTCCAGTGCAAAAGCTAAGCCCAAAGTACAGTGCACAGCTCCTGAGGCTCACTTAATCTCTGTTAGATGAACTGAAAGAATGAAAGAGGTGTTAAGGGTGATGCACAGCAGGCCTGCTGGAGACACTGCTGCCTGGTACCAAAGGAAGAACTCCTCAGCCTTATCAGATTCCTCAGTAGAAACTTTGTGCATTCCTAGGGAGAGGCTCAGCAGAAGACAGCTGGATAACCCAAAGCTCAAGGAAAGAATGATGGAACAGGCATAACTGTCTTTGATCACTGAGAGCAGAAAAAAAAAACCCTCAAACTCACCATCCCCCATATGCTCTCCAACAAGGTGCTGCTAAGAGGACGTGACAGAACTCAGAGTTCAGAATTCCCTCAGAACAGAAGCTGATCAGATATCCTATCTAATACTGCATTTTAAAAGTAGTGTCGAGTTAATGTTTGTTTTCCTACCTTTTTTTTTTTTTTTTTTTTTTTTTTAAGCTGAGTTGCCATTATTGCTAGTGCCAAAATAGAGCACTGAAAATAAAGGCTTTTAGAACTGAATGTGCTTTGTGCTATCCTTGGTTCCTGCATCTGCAAGAGCAGGCCAAAACTATGCTTCAGTTTAGGAGAAGTATTCTTCTTCTATTTTCTCATTTACTTATTCAGCATTTTTCAACCTGTGACCTCAGTCCCCTAGAATTTTGCAGACTAAGTCTAAGGGGTCCAAAAAAGGAACAACATTTATCACTAAGTACAAATATATTATGCAGAGCTCTGGATTGGTAGATAGTTAATGGTCTATAAATCTAAAAAATGTGAAATCAGGAGGCCAAAGTAGCACCAGTTTGGTTCATAAGCCTTGTAGAGGATTACAAACACTGCAAAACAGGAGTTGTATTTTCCATGCTGAGCACAGTAGTCCAAAATAAAAAGCAAGTATTTCACTATCTAGACTTGAAATGTGAAAGTACCATCAACAAAAGAGAATTAAAAGATTATGTTTTCTGCATTCATTCATTCCAGAGGATTATAAGACAAAAGAAGAAAATGAAAAAGCATATGCTGGAATTTTCTCCAAAGGAGAAACAAGCTATGACCTCTTTAACGTATTAAATGAATTAATGATCTACAACTTCCACCCCTCACCCTCGTGCTTCCCTGTGGGAAGCAAAATTGTGCCATCTAGTGGGATTTATACTAAGCCTTAACTATGCATTCTTGACAAACTCTATGGACACCCTAGAGATGTGAACAGCTTGTTGTACAACATGGATCTTGGATCCTATTTTGCTCCTGGTTTAAAATCCATCCCCTACAAAAGCTGCAGGAAGCATCATTTGAAGGGGATCTGCTCACCCTGCCTGGCTTAAGAGCAGGAAAACCTGGTGCTTGGAAGTGAAATATCCAGGAAGTGTCTCACAGGGTGGCCAGTGTGTCACCGACAAACAGAAAACAGAGAGAATAGGATAAAACAGGGGGGAACTTTTCATCCCTTTAGGCAGGCAGAGTTAGGAAGATTAAATACATCCCACAAAGTCTGCTATTTTTTAGGGGCCAGAGAAAGGGAAAGGAAGTTGCTCTTTCATTTATTAGCTAGATTTCTTCTTGACTTCTGAGCTGATAGAGAAAAATGATTTTCATGAGTGTGACTTGGTACATTTGGAATGTCAAAGCCACGGGGTTCCCCCTGTGGATGAAGAAGCTCCCATTTGCCTGGCAGCCAGCAACCCTGTTTTGACACGCTGCATACATACAGAGAGCTGCTGTATGCAGATGAGACTTGATTAAAAACAACCCCATTTCCTTGAAATCTTTTGTGACCTTAGTTAAACAACAGGCCTAATATAGATTTCAATATGATTTTTTAATCTTTGCCCTTTATGGATTAGTGTTATCTTCATGCTAGACAGGCATTTCAGTGCAGATTTTCTTCTATGCCAGTGATAGGGGAAAGCCCTATCACGTCTGACTGCAGTACTAAACTCAAAGTACTGCAAATTACTTATATACCCAAGTATCAAAGGCAAATCTAATAAAACTTGATATATTTCCCTTGGGAGCATGCTTTATTGCCTCAGTCAAAACAGGTGAATGAGTAACAACTCCATAAGGAGTTTTAGTATCAGAAAAAGTAAAGTTCATTGGACAATCTTCAAATAATTAACAACTCTTTCCCCTACAAACACAGTGAGAAGTGTTTCCCAACAAAACATAAGCTGTTTTTCTCCATCTCAAAGCATCCCCTGAAACAGTTGGATCAATTCTGTGCACTGGGAGACCTTTGTCTTATTTGAATCAACATGGAAAGGAATCTTAAGAATGTTTTGGTCATTTCTTTTGGATTTTTACTTCTCTTCACTGCTTATGGAGGACTTCAGAGTCTACAGGTAAGTGGAGCATCTTCAAATAGCTGGCAGAGAGTTGGCCCGGAAATGCAGCTGCCCAAGTGGTAGTGTGAAATCCCTCAGTCTTTCCATAGTCTTTCCATATGTATACATATAAAATGCCTTCCTCACAAATTTATATATTTATATATATTACATAGGTATAGATATATTAATGACATAGGTTAAGATATCAACATATCATGGGTTACTATCCTTCACCCATTTCCATAGCATCTACTAAATAGAATTTTCTAGTACTTCTTCATCAGTTGGAATACTTGCATCAGTGTACTTTTTTAGATCCACAAAAGCTGTTTGAATGAAAACTAAGTTTCTCTGAGATATTTCTCAAACAAATACTTGTACAATTGTAAACAAATTTCTTTTCTGGAAAAGTTTTTGGTTTTGGAATACATCTTAATTGCTATATTTTCAATATTATTAAAACACAGCGGTATTAAATAATAAAAATATATTCCTAACTCATTAAATAATGTAAGCATGAAACAGTACTATAACTCCTGACTTCATGATACAACATAGTAGTTTAAAAAAGCTATTTTATACAAAAGGCAGTCCAAAGCTTATACTGAAACTAACATCTAGAAACACAGAACTGAGATAGGTTTTAAGAGAGATTTGAACACAACATACCATACACCAGAGCTGGCTTTCTTAGCATAGCTGAAAAGGACTGAGGGGAAACTGTTGCTTTCTACACAGGACAGAAAAACACAAGGAGAAGCTTTTCAGACTAGAATGTTGGTCTAATGACAAACACATGTATCTCAGCTATCTATAAGCAGGGTTAGGCAGGATACCAGAAGATGCCCCTGCAAAGTGGGTTCTGGAAGGATTTTCCAACCAGTGCAGGAATATGAATACTTTGAAGGTGAAATTAAACATTATTATTAAGGCTTTTTTTTTTTTTTTTTTTAGTATAATATGGCAGTTATCTGCAGTAATAAGGGGCTAAACTCGTGTCAGAGAATCACAGAATCACAAAATAGCTCAGGTTGGAAAAAACCTTAAAGATCATCAAGTCCAACCACAACCTAACCAAACTTAACCTAACAACCCTCAGCTAAATCATGTCCCTGAGAACCACATTGAAGGTCCCTCCTATCTCTGTACATTCACCTCTTCTCTCTCAGATCGGTTTCTGTTTGCTAACACTGTCAAATTCCAAGCTCAGGGAAGTTCTACAAATGGCCGGAGGTGTTATGAATTGGGAAGACTTAGAAGAGGGGCAATGATAAACCTCAGAAGTTGCAAGTCAGCCCTAGCATCTGAAACCACACATGTTCAAGTTAAGCACTGCAACATCCATGTCCCCTATCCTGCAAGAGGGAGCGGTGCTGACTTACAAAGTAAACCCCTTCTCTCTCCACTTGATTTTGGTGGCTAAAGAGGACTTCCTGTGACACAATCAAAAAGTTATTTTATTGCATTGTAGTCTGTAGGTGAAGAACTGAAACAGGCAATGTTTATTTCAATGTTTCTCCCATGCATCCCCAGAGAAACTCTTAACAATTAAGAAATCATATGATTTTGAAAGGCTGGCTCCACATTCTTGGAGGCTGTAGCTGACAAAATCGGACACTCAACTTCTGTGATCAGGAAGTCTCTCCGCCTGTTGATAAAACGATTATTCCAGTCTCCAAACACATTGGCACCATTCAACAAAGAAAATTCTCTCCTCACCTCCATGTTCTGATGGGTGATGAATTTAGACTACAACAGACCTGCAATTTTAACTAAAGAATTTTTCACTGTTGCCAAGTCAGCCCTTGCAATACAGCACTAAGGATATTCTTGTTTGGGAAAAAGAAAGAAGGACAAAAGCAAAATGAGATTATCCTTCATTCCGCTTCCTTTCAACGAGAAACTCACATTATATTAAATAATCTAAAATTGGACTCACCGAAGTTTTGCATATCCTCAACTGGTTCAGTACTATGCCTTCTAAAAGGGGTTATCACTGAGCAAATGACAAATTCACAGAGTCCATTGGGGAAAGGACTTGGTAACACTCAGGTCCAGCTTCCATCTCCCTATTTCTGCCCAAAGCCACCCTCTGTACATCACAGTGGCATATACCTGTGGTAAAATCTGTCTCACTGTTTTTGTCTGTGCAGAGCAGTCTCAACTCTGAGGAAGGTCTGGGCGTTGCTTCCCTAAGCGTTCTCTATGCTGCTCTTATTGTCTCATCCATGTTTCTCCCTCCAATTCTCATCAAGAAGCTGGGCTGCAAGTGGACCATTGCAGGCTCCATGTGCTGCTACATCGCCTTCTCCCTGGGGAACTTCTATGCTAGCTGGTACTATTATCCAATTTAAATACTTGAATCCTCTCTATAGTGTCTGGGCTAGATAACAGTGAGGGCAGAGTTCTCTTTTGTTTCAACTCCTACATTACCCCCATGATGTGGGTTTGAATAATAGGTGCAAAAGGCATTACCTAAAGGAAGAGGGATAAACAAATTCAGTAACAGATAGAACAGAAGGAAAAAGATGCAAAAAGCCAGAACGAATACGACTATCCATCCACCCACCTGAAGCTGCTTCTCTAGCTCCTATGTACTGCAGAGATTTCCCTTTGAGAAAAAAAAATATCAAAACAAAATCAGAGGTTTCTTTTAAAATCCAAATTTGGTCTATTTTTGAAAGGATTGAAGAGAAATCTGGCTCTGTGAGTAGAAGAGGTGCATTCCTACCAGGCCACTTTAGAAATGGGTGAACAGTATACTCCTGCTCTCTAGTAACAGTGGATGCAACTCTACAGAGTAAAGGTGTTGTGATCCATCTTCTGAGGAGCAGATGCAATGTAATTCTCAATTACAAGGGGATTGAGCACATGGGCACAAAGCCAGCTAGCCTAGACTTAGCCCCTAGACACAGCTGGGAGTGTTTTCAGATGCTAAGATTTGTAAGGTTGGCCCTTTCTTGATTTCACACAATAGATTTGCTGAATCATGCACAGGATAAATCTATTTCTTTGATGTCTATTTTTTGCCTCTGGATCTTTGGGTAAATGATTATTATGCTAAAGGATGATAATTCTGCTAAATAAAGTGTTCTTTGGCAGGTACACACTAATCCCTACCTCTGTGATCCTGGGCTTAGGAGGAGCACCACTCTGGTCTGCCAAATGCACTTACCTCACCATTGCTGGCAATTCATATGCTGAGAAAGCAGGAAAAATTGGGAAAGACATTATCAACCAATACTTTGGGGTCTTCTTTCTGATATTTCAGTCCTCTGGAATCTGGGGAAATCTTATTTCATCCCTGATACTTAGCCAATCTTCCAACAAAGGTAAAATATATTTTAAAACTTGGCACTTCTACTATATACATGAGCTAGTTTTAGATGATTGAAGAGCAGATTTCTGTAGTTGAGCTAGTGACCCTCAATTCCCATCATAATCAGTAAAAACAAGCATTTCAGATGTGAGTTAGCTCATCTGCAGCAGATCTGCTAAATTGCTCTGGAAATGTCTATTTTCTATCAACACTTCATCAACTATAAAGACAGTTCAGACATCTAGCTCAAAAATAGCTGTCTATTGAATTCCTCTCATGTCTCTAAAGCACAGATAGGCTGCTGGCAATGACAGTCTTCTAGATCTGACTTAAAGTAGATTAAAACAAAAGGCAAAACACTGAAGCAACCTTTTCACAAAGCCTGTAGTACTGAATTAGTTTGCTGTTAAGCATTCATAGTTAGTCAAGCTGGTGTTGGTGCTCACCAAAAATTAGTGCTTTCAGAATTGTCAAGAAGAAATAGAAATAGCTGTTGGCACGAATCTGCATGCCAGGACTTCTCCAGCACATTTCAGGCTCAGACAGCAGATGTTTATGTAGTTTGAAGAAATCACTCAACGGCACTGCCCTCATTTCCCATGCTTGTAATTGGCATAAGGCTTAAACAGGCAGTTGTGAAGATAAATTAATACTTGGACACCACCTTAGAGATTCACAGCACTACTGTGTATTATTTTTATTGCACTCTCCCAGCCATTCTCTATACTGTCAAAGTCAGAGCAGGATGGGCATGGAAGGAGCTTTCCACGTGCACTGCTACTATGAATAGCAAGGAGCTACCTCCCTCCTGGGCTCAGTTAAATTGTATGTTCTCTGGGGAATATTCAAATAGGTATTAGGTTAAACCCAAGCATCAGAAGTTGGTATCAGGTTTTAATCTTTGAATACTTGGGTTTATAACAAGATGGTTATGATAACTGTGGAGAATCAGGCATCTTCTAAACCCAAACACTGTCAAAGCAGAGTGCTAAAGGACTTGCAGCAGAGCCCTGCTGACCTGATTACTGAGTCACAAGATGTCTCAGGAGGGACCAGCTGCTCTGATTTCATTTGTGGGGCAGAGGATTTGGTGCAGTGGTGGGGTCTGTAAAACATTTTACTCTCCTTTGCCTCACAGTACACATTATGTTAAGTGACAATAATAAGATTAAAATACTGTCCATCTTGTAAATCCCCCATACTTTTACATCGGGGGATGTACTCCAAAGAAACTCTAACTTTTACTTACTTTTATCAGTTACATGGGATTTCAGGAAAGGCTGCTCTCCTGGGAGGTGTGCAATGACCAGCTCTCTAAGCCAAAGGCCATGTATGTCTCAGTGACGAGCAGCCATGCTACAAGTCATACTTCCCAGCTATGCTTTGTCAGCAGAAGAGAACTTCTGGCTGGGGTTAAGGGTCTCTGGGTACCTACTACCTGTATTACTCATTTCAAACGTGCTTAAAGTTTCGTGGAGCAGTAAGAAAGATACAGTATTAGTAGACAGCATTAATGTATTGCCTGCATCAATGAATACAGAAACAGCAAGGCAAGCTGCACCATGATGGAATGCTACAATAAGGGACAGAAATCAATGTAAATTAAGAGAGTCATCCTTTCTCGTTCACCAACATTGCAGATTTACTGTCAGAAGAACAAAGCAAACGCTGCCTTGCAGTTCTCATACCACTAGTTGTGTGTTCATCATCAGATCATACATGAACAGATAAAAAAACCCCAAAAACTTGCTTTGCACCATTCTGTGCTTTACTAGTGTGAGTCACAGTTTGCATATGGTAACTTGACTGAGGGTTTGCTCATCCAAAGCCACGTAGCTATAGCCACTGACTACAGTAAGGTAATTATTTTCTTTATGTTATGATCTGTATTGAACCTAAACTTGTTTATGAAGTGAGCAGCTACTTCACACTGCAGCAGCATTGATTGGAAGCAATGAGGAAAAGCACACTAAATGCTGTTACTCAGTAACTCAACTGCAAAATTACAGACCAAGTCCTGTTTAAGGAATCAGTCAAGGTACGCTGTATTGCTCTTTACTATGTTTGGAGCAATGGAAAATTCTACAGCAAAAATACTGAAACAATTTTGTTTTTTTAATAATCTTTTCTCACTGCAAAGCTTATTCATGCACACAGTTTGGGTCAGTATTTTGCCTTTACTAATCAGGTCCTAAAGGAAGTGGGCACAGTGTCATGAGGACACACAGGGTGTGTAAGCATGTGTGTGTGTGCAGCTTTGGCACAAGCCCAGCACAGGGCTGAAGGGATTAAACAAAGCAAAGGTCTTACTCCAAACCCTGCCACACTGTTCTGATTTCAAATATGCTCTCAAATTGTAATAAAGCCAGTAATAAATTAATAAAGCCAGGAAAAGCCAGTTTCTTAGAAGACTGCATTAACAGGTAATCATAACTTGAATTAATAAAACAGAAGATATCTCAAGGTGGTTTCCATTCCTATATCATATCATACACAGAAATTTCCTGGATAGGGACAATGTCCTCTTCTGTAAGAGCAGTTAAGCACTGCTGTAAACTGAAAGTCCTTTCTTGCAGTGTAATATAAATTAGAAGTTACAGATAAACACTGGAGCTTCAAATAATGCAAATTGAGACTGTAGTCAGATGCAAGCCTCTGGCTTTAGTCTGTGCCTTCATGTAACTATCAATTCATGTTCTGTCTTGAGCAACTGTTTCCATTAAAACAATTTTTTTGTGCATGTTAAGCTTGGATTCTGAAGTTAACATCTGTAATTGGAAGGATTTGAAACCACAATTAGGCATTGAGTGCTAGATTCCCTCTTCACTTCATCCTTATATATATTATGCATTCATCTGATCTCGTCTTTGTCTTGCCTTTCTTCCTTTTTTTTTGGTTCTTACTGAATTAGTGGAAATCTCAGAAGAAGACCTGGCATGCTGTGGGGCATATGATTGCGAGAGCAATACCACTAACACCACTGCCTTGGCAGAACCCTCTAAGCCCTTGGTCTACACCCTGCTAGGGGTCTACACTGGTAAGTAATCCACAGTCACCAATGAATAGCGCTGATGGGGAACTTAATATTTGTGAAACCAAGCATGATTTTGTGGATTAAGTTTCCAACTTCCTATTTCAACCCAGTTTGCTAGAAGGAAATAAGATAATGAGAGCTGTAAACTACTCCTTCCTAAAAAGTTTCAAATGCTGTGCACCAGTGCCATATGAATTTTGACTAAAGGAGCAAGACTTCTCACCTGGAGGAAAGATGATTCAGACTAGAATTGAAAGTACACTTACACTGCAACTTGAGGATTACACAAGCTCATCCAATTATGCAAGACAGAGTTTTAAATCCACCATTTTTAGTATCAGTAATAGCAAACTAGTTACTGATGGCATCAGGTTGATTCATGTAGACCAGCAGAGGTCCACAGTGCTAAGAGCAGCTCTGCTAGAGGTACTGTTGATGGTTGGACTAGATGATCTTGGTGGTCACTTCCAACCTTAATGATTCTATGATTCTACCTGAACTCACCAGCTGCCAGTCAGCTGTGGATGCCGATCAGAACAGGCAGGAGTGTTCTAACCCATGTATCACAGTTCAGCATAAGAACTATACTGTAATTAGAGGTGGATGTGAACCACTGCTCCTAGAACATGCAGCCATTCAGGGGGAGGTCTTTGGATCCCTGCTGAGATTTTACAACTTCAGTCAATTCTCAGCTGTGATGCTTAAATTATAATGCTTTTGTGAGAAAATCAGAGATAAAAAGCAGCAGTAGGTGAATTGGCACATCTCTCATTTAGTAACTACAGTTGCTATCGAACTTCCTTGCACAGGGCTAGAAAGAAATCAAAGACAGAGAAGACTGATGCCATCAAAAACTGCAAAGATGAAAACAGATAGGTAAAAACTCAGCAACATTTTGTAGCAATGAAGGAAGTTCAAAATGCATCTGTCTCAAAACAGGCTCATCTCTAGATAAATGAGAAGTATTTTAGCAAGGCAGAATGTAGCCTTACCTTTGTTAAAATAACTTAGTCTCTGCACACAGATAAACTCTCAATGCTGAGACAGATGCACAGAATTTGTCATACACTAAAGTGGAGAGTGTGCAATCCAGCCAGAGCCAGCACACACCAGGCAAGTCCACCACAGCAAACCCTCTCTCCTGTGCAAACCTCCACTCCTCAGAAGTGAGGAAACACAAAGAGTATCCCCCCACTTCCCTTCCAGAGGGTGCTGGAGCTGATGAGTTTTTGTTAAAGGCAGGTTTGGCTCTCAGGTTTAAATTTAAATGTGATGACTAACATATACAGCAGTCCCTTAGGCTTTGCTCATGCAAAATGAATGCAACCTTGCTGTCTACTGACCTTGTGTCAGTAGGGTTTCATTTTTCTTTTAAGCTTTTAATAAAAGATATGTCTTTTCCTACCTCGAGGGAAACCAAATAACTAAATATTTCATTTACAGACATTTTTTAAATGTCTTTCCTGTTTGGTTGCTGAGTACACAGTTTGCCTGCTTAGGTGGAACCAATAATAGATAAGCCTCTTGTTCATTTTGTGGATGTTTCTTTTTATGTTCATACCAATCACGATTAAGCTATGCAGTTATTCATCTCCTGTAATCACTCTTGATTCATCTAACATATTTGTTAGACTATTTGCCCGGTAAATGCAAATATCCTGTTCTCATAAGTCTTGCCATCAGCCCAAACACACCAATGAGCACAGTGGCAGAATATATACCACTATTGTTTTACAGTCCAGCTACCACATAGAACCAGTACAGTGGAGAATATAAATTCATTCTAGGAAACACAGGTGAGAAATAATACATGATTACAAAATGTAGCAATTTTCTGTAAATCTGCTAACATATTTGTGCATTAAAAGTTCACAGAAAAGAGGAGGAACACACAGGAGCACACCAAACAGGCCATATGGATGAGAAGAGGTGCTCAGTTCTCCTCCTGCTCTGTAACTCCACTTGGTTCCATGGGTGGTTTTCTAGTGTCCATCAGCAAGAGAGGAAATACAGTCATGCCTTTTACCTGTCAGAAACCAGTTGCCAATTTTTGTCTTCATGGGTATTATGAGCCACAAACAAAATCTTTATGATTCACTCTATGAGCAGTATATGTAGACTGATGCGTACATGATCACTTTTGAACTATTGTATGTACTCTTTTATTTGCTGCTTCTGATAAGAAATTATAGGTTCAAAGCTGTAACACATCTTTTTCAAGAGCACAGTTGTTCACTATCATCTAAAAATAGCACTTATTCTGTACTTAAAGCACAGTTCAGAGATGATTAAAAATAAAAATAAAAAATGAACAGAAAATGGCTACATATACTGGGATCCAAGACAGCAGTTCTACTTCTAGCACTGTATTTTTCTTTCCATGTATTTGAAGGAGATCCACCCCCAGCCATGAGTGCTTTGGCACTGAAAGTGTATATTCCTCTCTTGCGTTGATTTAAAGCCTTTTGATAGACCCAGAGGGAGCACTCTCTGGCCAGCTCCCAGTCCCCATGACCCCTGCCTTGCCCTGGAAGGGTGAGCCATCACCCTCAGTGGCCATGCAGCTGGCCTGGCGGCTGTCACAACAGCCAAGTCACAGCTAAGCGGAGGGGATTTGCAAGGTGTACAGCTGTATGAAGAAGATGTGAGCGTAGATCAGGCCTCCTTGTTTACACAGATTTAGCCTTTACTCTGAAGCGGAATCAGATTCATCTGCAAAAACATCCCATGCAGAGCTGAGCACTAAGTCAGAACAATAACAGTAACAAGCAATTTCCCATCCTTTTTCCAGCATTCCTTATTTTTTTTCATGAACTTTTTGTTTTGTTTTTGCAGCTAGTGGTGTGCTAGCTGTGTTGCTGATTATTATATTTCTGGACCAGATCAAATCTGACCAAGCAGAGACTGAGAAAGAAATGCAAAAGACACCATCCTTTTGGTCTACGTTCCTAGCAACTTTCCAGCAGCTTAAAGATAAAAGACAGTGTCTTCTAATCCCTCTGACAATGTACAGTGGGTTTGAACAGGGATTTCTTGCTGGTGACTACACAAAGGTGTGGATGACAATGAAAATCTATTTCTGTCTAATTGTTCTTTGTGCCTTTGTGTCCTACTAATTGCATCTGATCTATATTTACTTGTTAAATGAAGATGTTTTTTAATGGTGATTTGTGGTTAGCTAAATAACTGCTTACCTCTACTTGAATGAACTCTGAGTGACATCTTCAAATGGGATAAGCCAGTGGTAAATATGTCCCTTGGAACAGCCTAAAAAAAAACACACACAGAGAGCTTAACTCATCAGCAGAGACTACAGCAGAGCTACAGGTTCAAACTCTTCAGTTTGTTGTAAATAACAAAGTGAGAGAAAAGCCAGAAGTCTGCAAAGCTTTTCTATCTTTCTTCCTTCTGGTTTCCCTTGAGTTTTTATAAGTGCAAGTCAGCACACATACCACATTATTTTATTGTGAGAACCTTTACAGAAAGAGGGCAAACCCTCAACACTGATGGCTGGAAGCTTTTGCATTAAAATGATCACCGTTGCTCCTCCTCCTCCCTCACTCTACAAACTGAGACACACTTCAGGTATGTTCTCCACACATTTGTTGAGAAAGCCTCCAAAGAAAGGGAGCAAAGTTCTTGAGCTGATTATTTGACACTCAAGCTTTCAAACCTAACATATAGGCAGATGGAAGAGTGCACCTGCTGCTGTGTTTGAAGGGATTGAGAGGAGCACTCCATGGCCACATCCACTGGCTGGCTGAATGCTCTTATAGGTGAGGTCCTCTTTGCTTCCTGGGAACTGCTCAGTAATGGCCATAGTACCAACTGTCAGATTTTGATCTCGATCTATGAAGGCAAGGGCAGAAAACTCCTAGTGTCACTGCCAGGAGCTTTATTTGCATGGTTAGTGGTGCTCCAGTTTCTTCCCCTCCTTATTACTGCTGTTTGCATGGCATCAGTCTGACTGGGAACTAGATTAGGAACATCACTGCTGAAGTCCAACTATGTCAGTTCTCGTACTCAGAGACTTGTCAGCAAACTCTGTAGCTATGCTCCTTTGACCTTGTCTGTGTTGGCTGTTTACTAAATACGATAAGACTCTTGAACCGTAGGTGCATGTTTTCACTAAAGCCAATATGTCACCACTGTCTCCTCTCTTGCAGACTTACGTGACCTGTGCCCTGGGGATTCATTATGTTGGTTACGTGATGATCTGCTTTTCAGCTGTGAATTCCCTTTGTTCTCTGCTCTTTGGAAAGATCTCTCAGTTCACGGGTAGAAAATTTCTATTTGCATTAGGTATGTAAAGGCCACTCAAAGGACTGATCACCTCACATAATATATCAAATCCACTGCTCGACCCTTTGTATGCAGGACAAAGTGAGAGCTCCCTGTCAGCTAGCAATTAAAACCGATGTGGAGGCAAAATTAACTCATGAGAAGAGAGGCAGCACAGCACACCACTGTGCTCAAGTCACTGTCTTATGTCACTTTGCTGGTGGTGAGTTCACCCTGCTTTTGAGGGCACTGTCTATTCAGAAAATGTCCTACAACTTTGAAGCTTTGTAACTACAATGCAATTGTGATAAATGATCCTACAGTACAGATTACAGATATTGAGGTCTACAATGAACCTGAAAAGGATTTCTCCATTGCCACACTTTTTATGAAGCAAAACCAAATGAGAACCCAGTAATCGAGAATCTAGTTCCCTCTCTCCAGAGAACAAATTTCAGGGAGCAATGGCATAACAGGGGCAGAAAAACACCAAGAAATTTTTCATTTCTGTTGCAGTACCCACTGAAGTATCCACCCCAAGGTATTGATACCTTGCTTCCATCACACAGGCCTATACTGTTAAAAACCTGTATTATTAGAAACTTCACTGGCTGAGTTAATGTGCATCACTAGATGAATTTCCTCCATAGGAGTTTCTAAACCTGAGCAAGAAGAAATTTAGAGTTCGTTACACTACCATCACTAAATCATTTGTGATTTTTCTATGCGTGTCTGTGTGGAACTCTTTCTAGATGTAAAACAAAACAAAACAAAACCACGCACAAAAAAAACCCGACAAAAACACACCACCACCCAACAATAACTTAATAGCAATAAAAAAATAGCATTAATAATGCAAAATCTCTGAAGCTATAGGTGTGTTTACTAGTCTTTGTACTCAGACTAGAAAGGTGCACCAGTGACAGGGACTAATCAGTTACCCATTAACATACTACTTTTAAGAAAGCTGCAGACCCTCAGGACATTCTTAATTGTCTTCCTTAGCCCTGAAAGGAAATCTATACCTACTTAATCAAAGCAGAACAGTGCTTTCTCTCCCCTACCACATGCCTCGCATTTGGATTGCGAGGCTTTCAGCAGCCCCTTCTCCTGCTGAGTGCAGTTCTGGTCCCCTATGATAACAGCCACATCAGCTCCCAGGATCCCTCAGTTCAGGATGCTGCTCAGAATTATTAACAGAAGACTGTTAAAGGATTGCATTGTATTGTATTTCATGCAATATCAACTCAGCCAGTACAAATGTCAATGAACCAGAAAGATTTTTGGATTGCCTTGTATTTTAGTTGGGGGAAGAATTTTAAAATGCATATACCACTACCTCTCCTGCATATAATAGCATTTACATTGCTCTGCTTTCTTTCTAAACTGACAGCCACAGCTACGAACACTGCCTGTATAATAGCACTACTGCTGTGGAAACCTCATTCTAACCAGCTTGTCGTGTTTTTCATATTCCCTGCTCTTTGGGGCTTATCAGATGCCATTTGGCAGACACAAACTAATGGTAAGTCTTGGTGACAATGAAATGAATTCTCCTGAGATACAAAAATCTGCATGTTTATATTTATAAGCAATCTGGTTTAGGACGTGCATAATAATTAGAATGGGTTTAAGACTGCAAATGAAAGACATATATTAGCTCTGTAGAGACTAGAATAAATCTGAAGTTGAGAATGAGAAAGTAGAATACTTATTAAATATTTTTTCCATGATGAAGAGAGAACATTGTGAAAGATGATAAGGTATTCAGAATAAATATTCTGGAGGAGCGTATTTCACAGAAAATTAGAAGATTCAGAAGAATGTTACATTTAGTCTGTCTTTTGTAAAAAAAATAGGAGAGCACTCAAAAAAAAATCAACTGAAATCTCAGCAACAAAAGAAGCATTAAATTGGCTTTTAGTAGTTATTAGAAAAAAAAAAGAGGGGAAAAACCACAGAGAACAACATTATGCAACCACACAAATCTACGATTCATGCATTTCTGATTTGTTCCATTTAAAAATCATAATCAAATGTGATAAGGTACAAAAAGGCAATAAAAAGAAGCAGAGTCATGAGAGACTTCCATGTGAAGGAAGAATAACGAACTAGAATGCTTCAGCCTGAACAAGTGATAAATAAGGAAAGCAGAATGTGAGATCATGAATAATATAGGGAAGGTGATTAGAAAATGATTTATTCATTATTTTTTTAAATAACAGAACAAGTGGTACCAAACAGCACTGTCCTACAGCAAGCTTCATAGAAAATGAAGGAAATGTTTTTTCCAGAAAATACATAATCAAATTGTGGTGTTCACTGCCAAAGGATTTACAAGAGCCCAAAAATGTAAATGGTTTTAAGTTGGCATTACATCATCTCAGGGGGAAATGTTCTTGGGGGTTACTAAAACTGGTGGTACAGAAGAAATGTAAAACTCAGAAAGTCCTGTGTCTTTGACTGCCAGACTCGGTAGGGGAAAGACCATTCTTTGGCAAATAAGGCATTCTGTACTTGCCTTAATTCTTACACTCATCCTATGAATTTGTTACTGCAGGGCTATTTTTGGACTTCTTGTCTGATATACTACACATGTCTTTAACATCTTTTATGATCTCCTGCTCTGTGATACAATGTAATTATTAATCCCCAGCATTATACACAGTACAGATAACGAGCTGATACACACTCGCTTCTGCAAGAGTTCACTTATACTTACCATTAATGGGAACTAGAGGAAGTGATCTTCTACAGACTGAAGACAGATTACAAAATGTTGTATAGGGCAAGAAAAAGATACAGTCTCCATTGACTTGAAATATATACAGGCTGCTAAAGACCATCAGTCACAGTCTTTTTAAACCAGTGCTATAGCGTGTGTCCACAAGGTACTGTTATAAATGCTCTCCCACTTGCTCTTGTACTTTGCTTCTTATTTCTCTATCTCAAATTCATATTTGGCAGATAGTGTAGGAATACATAGATGACAGAACTAGTTCATTTGCTAGTTCCTATATCTGCCCATATCTGCCTGTGTGTCTAGGTGTCCTCTCTGTCATCTCTCTGGTTAGCTCAGTAGGTGATTTGATGATTTTGCTCACTAGATAAATCAGTACATTTCTCCTAGAGAGCCAAAGGGAAATCACCATAGTCCTTTTGCTGGTGCTTACAGAACTCCTTTCCAGCACTCTTACATCCCTTACACAAATAAAGAAGCAACCAGTCAGATCGCCCTGTCCTTCCAGCAGTTTCAGGTCATATCACTTAGAGCAGAGCTGTTACACATGTCAAGCAACACCCTCTCAGCTTCTCTCATCTCAACCCACAGCCTTGTGCCTTTGGTACAATTGTAAGTCAGTGCTCTCATTGTTCAGGTTTATAAAGGGAAAGCATCGGTGATGATTTGCACTCTCTGAAGTACAGCTGGTGATTCATTTCCTGCTTCTCCTGCCAGCCATCTCCCTGGCTGTCCACCTCTCTCCTTCCCAACACTCTTAAGAATCATTCTCCAGAATCTTATGTCTATCACTAAGATGAGGGATCTTTCCTGCAGTCCTTATCCTCTGATACTTGACTTCCCTGAGGACATCTCAGTGTGGTTCCAGCATGCCTGAGGAAGGGGCACCCAGTGCCCTCATTAAGAGAAGGGAGTAGGTACAGAGGGCTTCAGTGTGAGAGATGGAGGCTGGAAGATAGTGCAGTTCCTAATGCCCTTATAAGGCACAACTTGTGTGTACAAATCATTGTACTAGTGAGCTCTGCAGTATTGTGACAACTCCAACCTCCAACAACTCCAACAGCACTGCCGTGGGTCACCCACGTGTTCAGGCTCCTACTGGAGCAGGATTAGATTTGTTGCTAACTAGAAAAAAGACAAAATGTTCCTTATCTTTTTTTGTCATCTTTTACAGTTATTCTGCAGCTCCTAGTAACAAAATGCACAGAATTTGCATTGTCACAATGATGGCAGGAGATTGTGCAGTGACATTGCTCTATAGTGCTGCATCCCAGAACAAGATCAGCAGTTTGAAATGCCTGTTTAGGACAGAATTTCTTCATCAGTTTTATAGAGGGAAAGCAGCACTAAAATAATAAGAAAAATTCCTGATTCCAAAGTCTATGAGGTGAAACTAAGACCTCTAAAATAGCATGAGGGACTAAGGTCTGTGGTGCTTCCCTAGGCAAGCTCCCTTTTCATTTCAGCAGACTAACCACTGAATAAATACAACATCATTGTGCTGCATACTCCAGGCATCTTACGGTAATCAGACATGGTTTACTTTGGCCTGTTGTGGATAGTTAATGCTAGAGTTCCCCCTAGAGGTATCCAGGCAAACAATAGATGAGTCATTTCATCTTACAAAGTTTCCTAATATGTTTGTGTACACGCATGCACTCCATTACCAGTTGAAACCTGCTTCATTTCACAGTGTGTACTTCCCTCTCTTATCTAAACTGAGCACAGTTGCTGTTATCACCTTCCTGGCAATAAATGCACTTCAGGGACAACAATTGTGCAGCACAGGTAAACTGCAGTAAAATAAAGCTCTCTTGAGCATGACGTTTGCCTTTAGAAAGGATGTGAACCAGACTGGAAAGTTTATAAACCTGGACAAAAATTATTTTCAGCAGTCCTCTTCCATATCCATGCCTACCAACAGAGCAAGGGGAAGAGGCTGTAGGAGTGGGAAAGCAGGCAGGACAGAATTTTCATGAAAATGAGGCCCTATAGCTACCAACAAGAATTCAGACCTAGCAGCAAGCCCGTGCACTCAGCCAGCCCAGTGGCCCTTCCACAGCTTCAGTCAGGCATACTGGTGCCATACTGCATTTGGCAGGGTTGGTAATTAAGACCCAGCATTCCAGAGAACTTTGTTCTCTTTGTCTTTTGGCTGAATATACATATTTCAAATATACAAGTTGTTAGATATAGAAATGAATGAGAAAAGTCAAGGTTCATCACATTCCTCCCTGCTCACCACAGCTGAGTCAGTGGAAACACTGGCTTCGTTATCACCACTGATGCTAGCTCAGCACCCAGAGGAAAGGGAGCTCTCTGCCCTTCCCTTGGTGCTTCACTAGTGGGATCCAGAGGTGGGAATCCCTGCCTGAATTCCAGGCTTGGGTGTGCAGCTGACCAAACTCAGAGGGAGCTTTCAAGAGAACATGTGAGTATGTAAGTACTTGCCTACAGATCTTCCCCTTTTCTGGCTGATAATTTGAAAAACAAACTTCCTATCAGTTCAGTTTGACACACAGATCTTTTCTTCCTTCCTCTCATTTTCTTTCCCTTTTTCTCTGTTATTTGCTTTTTTGTCACTTTTGCTCTGTTATTTAACTTACCACAATTCATATGAGTGCAAAAATATTCTACAACAAAGTTTGTACATTCTTCTGTCCCTTAAGAGGGAATGTTTTATTTTCCCTGACATGGCCTATTTATCCCTGTTGCAGAAAATACATAGTTTCAAACTTAACCTTCACAAGCCTTGTCTTTTTGTTTTCATTCAGGACTTTATGGTGTTTTATTTGAGAAACACACAGAGGCTGCCTTTGCAAATTACCGTCTCTGGGAATCATGTGGATTCGTCATTGCCTTTGGTTACAGCACCACGCTGCGAGTCTACATCAAGCTGTACATTTTACTGGCTGTGCTTATGTTGTCTATGGTGACATATGGAGTGGTTGAGTACCTGGAAGCTAAGAGATCCCCTGGGACACCTGCTGCTACAGAAAAAGAAAATAAGGGCCCTCATACCCAGGAAACACGTATCTAAGCCATCAGGGTCAGAGTAATCAAGGTCACCTGCTATAGGCAGGTTTCCATGGGCTTTCCAAAGTTCAACAGCTTCAAACAGATTTTGGGGCCAACAAAAAAAAAAAAAAAAAAAAAAAAAGTCTTAGGAGTAAAAATTTCTCTTGACATTTCAGCCTTATAAACAAAGATTATCTGACTTCATCCTTTCATACAACTAAACACCCCTTTTTTTTTTTTTTTTAATTAATAAAGTCTTGATAAAAGTACACAAGACTCTTAAAGCCCTAACAATTTTGTACTTGTGGATCAGACCTGGTACCACAGGTTTACAACCAAAGCTGAAAGAGCCACACGCAACATCAGAAGATGGCAGCCACTGGAATTGCTGACCTGATTGCAGGGAATGCATATAATATAATGGTTCCAGTAATCTATGATCGTGGAATCACCATTTTATAAAGATTTGCATTCTTCTCATTCTGCCTTTTTTAAGAACTTGC